CGAGCCCCGCGTCAGGCTCTGGGCTGATGGCTTGGAGCCTGGAGCCTGTTTCCGATTCTGTGTCTCCCTCTCTCTCTGCCCCTCCCCCGTTCATGCTCTGTCTCTCTCTGTCCCAAAAATAAATAAACGTTGAAAAAAAAAATTAAAAAAAAATACTTTAAAAAAAACAAAAGAAAGAAAGAGAAGAAAGAAAGAAAGAAAGAAAGAAAGAAAGAAAGAAAGAAAGAAAAGGAAAGGAGAAAAGAAAAGAGAAAGAGAAAGAAAGAAAAGGAAGAAAGAAAAGGAAGGAAGGAAGAAGTCACTATGTGTTGTCTACACTTAAGGACTGAGTTAGGCTTCCGCTTTGAGGGCAGAGAATCTACATAAATTATTTGGTACTCTTCTGCATGGAAGATTTGTCTCTTCTCCATTTACTTATTTATTCATTCTTTCATTCATTTAATCATTGATCTCAGCATGGACTCAGGGATATCTGTTTTTCACCTTGGGTTATAATCCATTACTACTATATTTTATTGCTCAAATTTTTCCAGCTTTGGCCATTGGGAGCTATTTCAATTGGCCCCTGTGTTTATTTGACACTCCCCTTCAGTGTGTAGTTTCTGTTTTGTTTTGTTATCAGTTTTTCAAAGCAATGAAAAAGATTAATATATTAATAATGAGGGAGATTCTATAGATTTGTTAACAATGCTTAGTACAGTGTCAAGCACAAAGACCTCAACCATAAGTAAAATTACTGATATAACTTAGCTGACTATTTTAGCTCAACAATATTATTAAACAGTTTTGCCTTATTTTTTGAATTTTCCAAATTAGAAAACACTGCATATCTGTGATATTAACACAAGCTAACCTTTATGGAGCACTATGTCAGGAATCATGCTAAGCACTTAATTAACATCAACTACTCCATTTAATTCTCACAACAACCCTGCAGCTCAACCCTGAGGAACAGAAGGCTTACTTAGTGACATCACTCTAGGAGTCAAGGATCCTATTTCTCAAAGTGTGGTTCTGAAAGAGAACTTTACCTCCATTTTTACCTTAGTCTGTACTTTCTACCTGATGAAGTTTTCCAACTTAACTTTTAACTCAAGCAAAAGAGCTGGCGGCTAAAGCATCCCATGATGGGAACCGAAACTACCCCTTCAAATAATAATAATTGCCCTGATGCCAGCAAGACCCCCCACGATTGACCCCAGGACAAGGCTTGACCTGACCTGTATTGCCCACCTACATGTACCCACCAACCTTTGTCCCACATTTTCCTTATATAAACCTAGCACTATCTTCAGCACTTTGGAGTCAGTCTTTGGGATATTAGTCTGCTGTCTTCCCAGTGTTCTCACTGAAATAAATTCCTTTCTTGCCTCACTACCTCTTGTCTCTCTGCCTCTGGATGATGTCAGCAATAAGTGGCTGAACCTGGTCTGTTTGGGACTCCTGGGGCCAGGTGCTCTTGTACCCTTGGGCCCCGGCTACAGTCCCTGGATCAGCAGCATCAGTGTCATCTGAGAATTTGTTATAAATGTATATTCTTGGCACTCACTCCAGATCCCTGAGTCAGAAACTTGGGCTGGGGTCTAGAAAGCTGTGTCTTAACGTGCCCTCCAGGTGACTCTGATGCACACCAACCCTCAAGAGAGTGATAAAGCCGGGCTTTAAATCTGGGTGTGAGAACTCAGAGCCCTCCAAAGCCCATGTGCTTCATCACTTTATGACACTCACTCCTTAATACACTAAGAAAGCCAGTGATAGGTAAGTTCTACTTGAAAACTGATCATAAAAGAGATGGCAGTCTGGGGCAGTTTCATCCTAATCCCTTGGTTCTAGTTCTTGACCAAGTCATTTTAAGTACTAAATTTACCACTAGAGGGAGTCCTTATATCCCCTCAAATACTGAATCTTCAAAGAGTAAAAAAACAAAATTAGGGGCGCCTGGGTGGCTCAGTTGGTTAAGCGTCCGACTTCGGCTCAGGTCATGATCTCATGGTCTGTGAGTTCGAGCCCGGCGTCGGGTTCTGTGCTGACAGCTCAGAGCCTGGAGCCTACTTCCAATTCTGTGTCTCCCTCGCTCTCTGCCCCTCCCCCGTTCATGCTCTGTCTCTCTCTGTCTCAAAAATAAAAATAAACATTAAAAAAAAAAAATTAAACAAATAATAAACAAAACTATTTGCTAGGGAGAGGTTTTGTATCTGTGTATCAACATTAAAACAATTTTCTTAAGCTATCTAACATGTAACAGCTACATCCGAAGCCATGTTGTATAGGCATAAACAACGGCAAAAAAAATACAATATATCATGGTTGCTTACTTAATATTTTCCTTTCTAAAATGGGACAAGGGGGAGGGGAGGAGAAAGCTAAGATTAAGAAAATAATAACATATGATTTAAATAAAATAATCTAATTTAAACTACATCATCACCTCTAAAGTTTCAAAGAAATACGACTGGAAAAAAGCTCAAAAACTGCTCCAGCTATATGTATAGGTACCTCCTTCCACCTCATGCAGGGCACTTGGTTTAAAAAATGGTAAATCCAGGGGCGCCTGGGTGGCTCAGTCGGTTAAGCATCTGACTTCAGCTCAGGTCATGAGTTCGAGCCCCACGTCAGGCTCTGTGCTGACAGCTCAGAGTCTGGAGCCTGTTTCGGATTCTGTGTCTCCCCCTCTCTCTACCCCTCCCCCTGCTTGTGCTCTGTCTCTGTCTCTCAAAAATGAATAAACATAAAAACAAAAAAAAAGAATGGTAAATCCAGCACCTGGTATATGACAAGTTCTCAGTAAATAATGCTGAATAAATGGTGAATGAAGTTAATGTAATTCTTTGCCTCCACTGGACCTTTCTTAAACCAACCTAAGTAAATTAGAATTCATTCAATGTTATGCAAAATAAAATTGTGCTGTTTTCACAATAAATAAATATCATGTAGTAACTTAAGAGAAGTCAGTGAAAAGTTAGTAGTAATTTAAGAAATCACTGAAAAAAGTCAAGTTATACAGCTGGTATCCTGGAAGAGTAATTCCCAGAGATTTTGGAATGCTACAACCATGATTGGCTGATCACTGACATACACTCTCCTTATTTCAAATATGAAATGGCATTCATTGACTACTTAAATTAATTTATTTAATGTTTACATTTGTTTAGGAACATTGCAAAAAAAATCACAATGTACGTGGTGTGTGTGTGTGAGAGAGAGAGAGTCTACAACAGTGGCAAGCACACTGGAAAGAGAAGACAAGGGATTTAATTTCAATGTTCTGAAATGTCTGTTAACAAAAGAGTAAAACCAAAGAAGAGCCCAGAACTCAGGAGATGGGTTCCTAGAACATATTCATTCCATATGTTAGGTGGAGGCTGAAAGAGTACAATTCAGTATACTTTTGTTCAAAAATTGTACATGAGGCATTTGCTAAAAGATTTAAAAGTTACATGACGAATACGATAGTTGTGGCTGTAACATATAAATACTAAGATAAGGACTGTGATCCTTTATTTGTATCAACTTGACTGGGCCACAGGATGCCCAAACTTTTGACCAAACATTTTTCTGGGTGTGTTTGTGAGGATGTTTTGGAATGAGATTAACATTTGAATTGGTAGACTGAGTAAAGCAGATTGTCCTTCCTAATGTAGGTATGCCTCATCCAATCAATTTAAGACCTGACTAGAAAGAGGTGAGTCAGATGGGTGATGGGCATTGAGGACGACACTTGTTGTGATAAGCACTGGGTGTTGTATGTAAGTGATGAATCACTGAATTCTACTCCTGAAACCAATATTGCACTATAATGTTAACTAACTAAAATTTAAATTAAAAAAAAAAAACTACCTGACTAGGACAAAAAATCTGAGGGAGAAGGAAAGCTTCCTACCTGACTGCTTAAACTGGAATGTTGCTTTTTTTCCAACCTTCAGACTCAGCCAGAAATATCAGCTCTTCTTGAGTCTTGAGTCTGCCAGCTTTTGGACTAGAATTCATACCATCAGCTCTCCCGGGTCTCCAGCTTGCTAACAGCATGTCCTGGGACTCAGCTCCCATTTTCACATGAGCCAGTTCTTTAAAATAAACCATATGGTTGGATGGATGGATGGATGGATAATAAAAACATATATATACACTATATTTAGTACATATACGCATATACTATTGGTTCTGTTTCTCTGAAGAACTCCAATGTAAGGAACAAATTTTTTCACCATGACTGAACTGCCTATGTGACCAGACCCCCTCCCAACCACTCCAACTACATCACCTATCATGATGCCCACCTCCTCTACTCCAGCCTCTTTGATTTTCTTCCATCTCCTCAAACACACCGTGCTCTTTCTGTCGTGGGGTTTTCACTCATTCATTTTTCATTGGTAAATTCCATTAATTACTAATTCCATTAGTTCCTACTATGAATCAAGGACTTTGGTGGTGCAGAGAATATAACGTGAACTGTGCCTACGTCCATGCAGATTATATTCTAATCATGGGAGACAGAAATAGCATATAAACAAATAGGTTAATTTCAGAGAGTGCCATGTGCTTCAAAGGAAACAAAACAGAGTGATATGGTAATGATTAGGTGTTCAGAGAAAACCTCATTCTGTAGGCACCTTTAAAGCAGAATTCTATGTGATAAGAAGGGGCCAGCCACGCGAAGACCTGAGGGAAGAGTGTTCCAGGCGGAAAAAAACAGCAAACACAAAACTGATTCTAAAACGAGGTTGATACATGCTGGGAACAGAAAGAAAGATACCGTAGCTAGAGCAGAGTGGGGGCAGTGGAAGTAGATGGGAAGGCAAGAATGAGATACAGCCTTCATAGCCAGAGTGAGGATTTAAATCTTGATTTTAAGCGTACTGAGTCTGTCTTAGTCCATTTAAGCTGCTATAGCAGAAACAAAAACATAAGCTGTGTAGCTAATAAAACAACAGAAATTTACTTCTCACAGTTCTCTCCCTCATTGATGGCCATCTTCTCAGTGTAACAAGGCAGAAGGAGCTATGGAGCTCTCTGAAATCTCTTTTATTAAGAGCACCAACAGGGTTGGGACATCTGGGTGGCCCAATGGGTTAAGTGCCACACTCTTGATTTTGGCTCAGCATGACCTCATGATTCATGAGTTCGAGCCCCACATTGGGCTCTGTGCTGACAGTGTAGAACCTGCTTGGGATCCTCTCTCTCTCTCTCTCTCTCTCCAAGAAATAAATAAACTTAAAAAAAAAAAAAAAGAGCACTAATAAAGCCTTCCCCTAAGGCCCCATCTCCTAAAACCATCACCCCAGAAATTAGGATTTCAACATATGAATTTGGGGGAGACATAAGCACTCAGATGATTCAGCAGAGGCTTTGAAAGGTTGGCATGATCTGATCTACATTTGTTTTATTTTGCATTGCAATGTGTAACTGTGGACGTGCAGAGACCAATAAGGAGGGTCTGCAGTAAAGGTGAATGATGATAGTAGCTTGGATTATGGTGATGCAGAAATGAAAAAGGAGTGATTCAGGATATGTTTTGGCAGTGGAACAGATGGAAATTGTCAGTGTGCCTGGGGAAAAGAAAGGATGGCTCCAAAGTTTTTGACTTGAATAATCAGCTGGAGGGCAGTTAGGATAGATGGGAATGGGATTGGGGTTTGGGTTGGGAGGGAGGGAATCTGCCTATCCTGTCCTTCTCTTTGGACTAGTTTTCCCTCCTTCTTCACCTAGTTAACCCCTTCTCAATCTCTGAATCTCAGTTCAAATGTCACTTTCTCAATGAACTACTTTCCCCATCCAGTTCAAACCAAACTTCTGTATTAAGTATATGTCATCGTGCACCATGCACTTTCCCTTAGTACCTGTGTTATAATGCAAAAGGGGTCACTAACATGTTGCCTCTGTTGCCCCTGCTGATAGCCTTCCCAACCCCAGACTTGTGAGCGAGGTCACCTTGGCTCATCCAGTCACCAGCAAACCCAGAGCTGGCCAGAAAGATATAAAAGAACCCATTTGAGTAGACTAAAGTAAAAGAACCACCCAGCCCATTCATAGAATCCTGAGTTAGCTAAAGGACTATCATAAGCCACAAGGTTCTGCCATGATTTGTTATACAGCAAAAAATAGATACAGTAGCACATACCTCAACTGCAATTTTACAAGTATTTGTTTGATTAGTGTCTATCACTCTGAGGAGACTGTGCACTCTACAAGAGCAAAGACTATTCTGATTTTAGTTTACTACTCCACGCTCAGAGTCCAGCACACTATCTGGAATACAACAGGTCCTGGGTAGATAACTTGCGAATGAATACAAGGGGGAGAAGAGAGGAATACAGGTAACATACGAGAAGAAGGGGAGCTCCCTAAGAGAGGTAACAAAGGACTGGGGATATCCATTTGTCCAAAACAAACTTTCATCAGCCTAAGGCACTGACAATACAAGACCAAAATTGCATTTCCTCTACCCCCAAGAGCTCAGTCTAGACTGGGGGAGACAGCACAAAATCCAGAAAATACACTACCAAGGAAGAGGGCCCTAACGTGCTGTTGGGAAGACAGAAGTGTGAGGCGCGCGTGTGCGTGCGTGCATGCGTGTGTGTGTGTGTGTGTGAGGGAGAGAGAGAGAGAGAGAGAGAGAGAGAGAGAGAGAGAGAGAGAAAGCTTGAATTTCGTCCTAACAGTGTTAACTTGGAAGAGCAGCACAAGGTAAGGTCAGAAAACCCAAAGAACATGGGTTGTTCAAAGGCAAAAGAAAAGCCTCCCGTTTGTTATTTATCTCAGAGTATATTGTTCAACAGTTTAAGTGGCTGCCACCTCATTGAATGCTAAGGTCCGTCAGGATGGGGGTCCTTTCTTCTTACCTTTGTTTGTATTAGTTCCAGTGTCTAACCCAATCTTTTCCAGAAAATAGGAACTCAACAAATATTTGCTGAATAAGTGAAAAGTTAGGGATGAGACGGTAAGCAGCACTCCTACCAAAGGCAGCTTCCAAGAGCCCACGTTTTCAGATTCAACACAGGGACGCGGACACGCTGAGCATATGCTCTGAAGCTAAATGGCGCGTCAGCAGAAACTGGACCCCATTGGCCTTTCCTTTTACGTTTCCCTCCCAGTTACTGGCTGATTGGCTTTGCGCTCCTTTGCCCACAGTCCCGGCTGGAGGGACCGGAGGCGGTTTGGCGAGCGCGGCTCTCGACGAAGATGAAAGGCCCAGCAGCGGGCACCGGCCTAGGCGCTGTGCCAACCGCACGCGGCGGGAGGGAACGCGCGGGCCGAGGGCGCGGGCGGGTCTCGGGGCGGGCGCCGGGGCCCCCCGGCTTTCCCTGGCCGCGCTCCCGCCGACTCAGGCCCCGAGCGCGGGGACGCGCCGCGTTGCCGTAGAAACGCCGGGGCCGGCGCGGCGGCGCGCGGGGCGGGTTCTCAGGCTCCGGGAGGCGGCGGCTCGCGCCCCGGCG